GAGGGTAGGAAGAAGGCGAAAAAGAAGAAAAGAAAGAAGAAAAAGAGTAAATAGAAAGAATCTGGATTCATTTTGCTCAAGGGATGGAAACAAGCAAAACATTAATTGGAGACTCAAAATTAAGTAACATTGGAATGAGTTTAACCCCTGCACCCCAGACGTTAGTCGTGTGTTAATTTAATATTAAAGTAATTCGTTTCACTCACCAGCAAAGATGGTTGAAACGAAATATGCCGGATAGATGACAGCCGACACTGGAAACAGACGTAAAGTTGTCAATAAAACACGACAAGAGTGCGGCGTCCGGGTACCCCGGAGCGTGTAGACGCAACCGCACGGGTGAAAATGCGATGAAGATCCTCCGCTGAGTTTCAGAACCACGTGAAAACCTCAAATCCGACGGCGATGCCTTTCCCCTGAAACCAGACAGAATGTCCCATAAAATGACAAGAATTTATATGTAGGGTCTGAAGCTCCGTCAGTGGGCGTTATATCATATTAATGGAACATGGAGTCCTTAGTTCTGTGTTCCGGTAACATTTTCGGCGTCTCGTGTTGTATGGCGTAACAGACTTCACGACGTAGGCGGCCATTATCCTCACCGCCGAGAAAAACTTAATTAAATGTCAAGAGGTTATTACAGCTGACCTAGAAGTAGACAACGAATCTCCTTGTTTCAGGCCATTTTGAATTGCAAAATGAGTCAGACCAATGTTTCATAAATTTAACATTTTCAAGTGCTGAAAATATACTCTATTATATTCCTGACGATGACACAATAAATGATTTCAAAGTATGTTTCACGCATTACACAGGTAAAAAATGTATGAGCACTGAAATTTAATCGGAAGGTAATTGAAAATAGTAGTCCAGTGTACTTACCACGAGTCTCGAACTCAGTACTGCCACATCATATCCTGTTGGATGATGTAAGTAGCATCTGGAAGTACCTGGCGGTACATGACGACTACAGGATACGAGCTTACCACATAACACCATATTCTGGAAAACAAGTCACTGGTTTAAAATTCACGTTCAACGCAGGTTCATCGTAGAACGATACTTTGTTCTGATGTCCGCCACTTCTGAACTGCCTCGATCGAGCCAAGGATATTAAAAATGTTTCTCCGTATTTCGTTAAAGAAAGTTTTTCATACGAACAACACGACCTACACTTTCGGAACCTCTAATTCCATCAGCACGTAAACTACGTCTACTCAGTCCAAATCAATACCGACTTCTACGTACTCGAAATTTATTCACGAGAACTGAAGTAAGGACGACCAGTCAGTTTTTGTAAACACTGTAATAAAATGTCTCTGTTTCCATACACGAAGAGAAAGGCTTTGACCAGTTAAACGACTGTCAGCTACACGATGACTGCCGTGTATGTTTACAACAAGACAGGCGGAATAAATTGTGTGCGTGTCTATTACCGGACACGCAACGTCTCTACGATTGTCTGCATTTTCTCCTTTGTCTTCAACACTTCTCAAATGATCTGTA